TCAACATAATTCTAACTCAGACAGCTGAAGACTCATATTGGATTCAAATACACTTGCATAAAGAGATTTGCATGAAACAAGAACTGTGGATTTCTCTCTAATTTGGAGAAGAGGTCCCCAATCACTCTTTCATTGTACATACCACATTTTAGCATTATACTGAGAAAAAAAAAACAACCTATCCATCGATTTGAACCTGAAAAGAGGCGTTAAAGTTGGTTTCCCATACTATATTTCATGGTACATGTCATTGATAATGACATTTCTATGAGTGCACTAAATACTTACATTCCAGGTCTTGAAGAACTCAGAGAAGGGCACGAAGGGCCAGACTGCGTATCATGTTTACATCCTGTTGTTCCTAGATTGACAACCAAAACATAGTAATCATTATAGAAATATTTACCAGCACATCAAGCCAGTTCAACTTACATAATCATAGAATCATCATCAAGAACCATCATTGTGCTCACAGCAAAGTTAATCTTAAACTCACATGGTGGTCATAAATCCTGAAGATCTCTCGGAGTGCCTCTGCTGTCTTGCCTGTCCGTCTCTCTGTACAGGGCAATCAGTTGAGGTGTGTATCTGTCAACCTCACAATAGAACTGATTACGTAGGTTCACATTTGTAATGCGATGGAACTCAGCAAACACCTGCAGACATACAAACACATAAATGTATATAGATTAATGTAGATTTTTCAACTTGTGTTTTAAGAGGAAAACATAATGCATCCATTGCACACTGTAAGCAGCAAAGCTAGCAGTTTTTCCCTGTGACTGTGCTGCTCTTGAATTGTATCAAACACTGAGGTGTTTCTATTATTTTTTCCATCCCATTTATATCAGTGAGGCCATGCTAAATAAAGACACCTCTGTGTATTATATAGTTCACCAGACCACAAACTACATCCTATAATAATAAAATAAAACTAGAAAATTCCTAAAGAAATTTTGATTGTGCCTTGCTCTGGCCCGTGACACTGGCCCATACATTACTGACACTGCCGAGTAGTTTACAGTACAATGAGGGGAGACACCTGTGTTTAATTCGGCGTCCGCGTGATCCACTTACAACCACGTATTTTAATGACAAATGTTGTTTTTTCTATCTATTCCCACGGTCTTCTCCACTGAAATAGTGAGGCTGGTCACGAGTTGATGCGACAAAGTCGGCCACAAAGTTGGTATTTATGTATTATATTGATTCCGAATTAACAAGAAGACTGTTGAGATATGATGAGTTATTTCTTGTGTTTCTACAGTTATGTGCTTTTATGTAAGCGCAAATAATTGTTAATATATGGTATTTCTTAAATGGAGTTTGGCATAATATTGTCCTGGGATAATGCAGTAAGGGTCATGGTTTAATTAAAATAGGTAAAGTAACTAAATAAGTAATAACCACAATGATGGGAATAATAAGTATGTAGTTATAACAATAATAATAACAATAATAAGTAATGCTCTCAATAATATGAATAACAATATTAATAAATAATACATAATTAAGAAAGAAAACTATTCTTACTGTGCAGTCATAGGCAGTTACAACAGTCTGAGTGTCTTCTTCCTCACAAAATAAATCTAACTTGATGTTTTATCACATTACTAAATCTGTATTACTTGTGTCATGTGTAACAAGTTGAAATAGATGCCTAAATAAGAATGTCAGTGTCTTTTGTGACGTTTAATTAGCACAGTAATCCTTTTTCCTCTCTAGCTAGCGAGTGCTAAAACATTCATACCTTGTTCTGTCTCGCTAGCTGGCGCTAGAACATTAGTAGCTTATCCTCTCTAGCAAGCAAAGCATTTTAATTAATTAGCTAGCCTTCTAATACCTTCTAATTCTCTTTAGCTAGCTAGACCTAGCACACATAAACACAGTAACCAAAGCTTGCGCTAGCTGCGTGCTAATCGCTAGCAAAGCGCTAATCGCTAGCTATGTGCTAGTTTTGGTTAATGTGTTTAATTGTATTATGCTCCTGAATGAGTTAGCTTCTAATTCTCTTTAGCTAGCTAGCTAGACCTAGCACACATAAACACCTTAACCAAAGCTAGCGCTGAGCTAATTGCTAATCGCTAGCTACGGGCTAATCGCTAGCTAACCGCTAAGTGCTAGCTTTGGTTAATGTGTTTAATTGTATTATGCTCCTGAAGGAGTGCTAATGTAAATTAAGGAACAGCTCATTGTAGGGTAAAATATTTAAGGTGTATTGTTCTTATTTTGTGTTAATATTAAAATCATTCAGCTTTAAATTGTTTGCTTGTTAGCCACCTTCTAATTATCTTTAGCTAGCCAGCTAGCGCTAGATTATTAATGCCATGTAATCCTCCTATAGCATATTGATAACCTGTCATCCTCCTAAGCTAGCGCTAGCATATTAATATCATGTCATTCTCTTTAGCTAGCTAGCTAGAGCTAGCACACATAAACACATAAACCAAAGCTAGCGCTTAGCTACGTGCTAATCGCTAGCTAACCGCTAATCGCTAGCTACATGCTAATCGCTAGCTAAGCGCTAATCGCTAGCTAAGTGCTAGCTTTGGTTAATGTGTTTAATTGTATTATGCTCCTGAAGGAGTGCTAATGTAAATTAAGGAACAGCTCATTGTAGGGTAAAATATTTAAGGTGTATTGTTCTTATTTTGTGTTAATATTAAAATCATTCAGCTTTAAATTGTTTGCTTGTTAGCCACCTTCTAATTATCTTTAGCTAGCCAGCCAGCTAGCGCTAGCTTATTAATGTCTTGTTAGCCTCTGAAGCTAGCTATGTGTGTTTGTGTGTGTGTGTGTGTGTGTGTGTGTGTGGTGGTGTGAGCAGGCTTTGGTTGTCATGGCAATCAGGGGAGCCCACAGCAGCTGCGCACGCTCTCTCTCTGTCTCTAACTCCTCAGAGAGACAGAAACATTTAAAATGAATCCCCTCGAACCCATGGCCAGGAACGACCGAAATGAAAACCGAAAAGACCGTGAGCGTCGTCATCTTGTTGACTATAGGACAGCCGAGTTTCAGTGGCTAAAGTTTAAAAATGTGACCTGGGGAGATTGAGAGAAAGAGGTTCAACGAGCATCTTTCAAGTTTGCTCCTCTGCATTTTAACATGGGAGTAGATGGGGCCGTGAGAGGGTGTTGCTGGCGCATCAGTGTGTTTCCCGCCAAAACTATTTGTCTGACAGCTTCAGCAGTGGTATCACTGCGACCCCAACAATTTACCTACGTTTCTATCTATAAATAATTTCTGTACAGTGAAATTTGTGGCCATGAGAGCAGTTTACAAATTTATTTTTCGACAATTTTTTCTCTCTCCCCACACTCTAGCGATGATGTCACGCACTCTGGCAGTTTTTTTCAGTTGGAGGTTCTCGCAATACACACCCATTCTATTTTGGACCGGTTTTTGGCGATTTACCGGCAAACCGTTTGGCGAAATTCTTAGAAAAGTCGTAGCACTAATGTCCTCACCGAGCCGCACGTTTTGATACCTTTTTTGTGTACGTGTGACAAAAGCTGCGGGAGAAGAAGCGCGCCAAAAACGTACGGAAGAATAATAAGCCCGAGGGATAATAGTATTGTGCTTGCTTATGCAAGGCACAATAACTACATTCAACCATCAACACTATTTTAGGATACATCTTACCGAGATGTTTTTGAAGCTCGAGGAAACTTGGTGCTTCCACTTGAACTTAAAATACATACAGTACAGTACTTATCAAACATATGTTAAATAGTTACAATATATACTGGTTCAGTTGAGCTTTATATGCAAACACTAAATATGTTTGTTGCATGTTTATCATTTACTCAACTTGTATATGTTTACTGTTTCAAATATTTGTATTATTATATTGAAATGCCATACTATGCATCAATATATCTATCTGATGGTTATTTATTTTTTAAATATGTATTACTATTGTATCATTCTTTCTCTCTTTCCTTCCTCGTGCTTTATCTGATGTTAAGAAAAAAGTTTAAACTAAGCTCTGTTGTTCCTCACCATGAAGGTTTTCACTATAGATGCAGAGCCTGACTGTCTGTACGGTACCGGGCTAACGAACAGCAGCTCCTAACGGTGCAATTCAAACTTCAATAACATTAGCTTTTCTGTTAACTTTACTGCGCCTGACGACTTATAACCGACATTGTGTGAACTTTTTACTGACCAGACCAAAGCACCTGTAAGACAGGACAGCAGCAGAGTTCAAAGTTACCGTTTACAGTCAGAGACATAACGTCGACGTTACGTTACTCTTAAGCTAACGTTAGCGCAACAGTAACGCGCCAAACTGCTTCTTCATACTGATAAACCGAGTGCACGGCGGTAAAATACAAACAAAGGAACACAGAACACATCTTTCTTTAACAGCGCTACGAATATGTTTGTATTCTCTTGACTTTTGTAACTTACCCACGGTAAATGAAAAGTTTTCCTCCGTTACTTCAAAATTCTTCTTGCTCGCCAAACGGTAGCCATCTTGAATTTTTTAGAAACGTGAAGTCCGAGCCTGAACGTTGTGACGTCGATGACGTCAGACGCTACGTCCCTCAGAAGTTATGATTTAGACACAAATGTTCACTCAGAAAAATGTATCCACATAAAATTAAAACAACATCAGTAGTTAACAGCTCTTAATCGTTTGTGCTCTGTTGACTCTTCAGCTGGTTTTGAGTTCTGTGCTCATTTCTTATGAGTTAGCAGGACTGTTCGGGTTTACACTGTAGGCTCAAATAGTTACATTTTCCATGGCTTATTTTTGTATTTTTGATATACAATCTATGTGTGCATTTTATTTTTATTCTCCTGATGATTTTTTTAATGTTCCAGTTGTTGAATTTACAACTCTCAGCAAAGTAAGATCCTAATTAAATAAAACAAAGGCAGTAAGATTCTTCAGTGAGGGCTTCCAGCTGTACACTATGTGGATGTGTGTGATAACCAGAATCCTTGTTCAGTCTGAGGATATTGATCACCTGCTGTCTCTGCATCTCTTCCAGGCCTGAGTCAGTGGAACATGTCGAACCTGCGCTTTGGACAGCATCTCATCAAAGCCTCGGCTGTGTTCCTGCAGACAGAGCTGTCCTTTGCTCTGGTCAACAGGAAGCCTGTGGTGCCTGGACGTATCTTTTCATTACTTAGAGGTGAGAGGTGGGCCTACTGAGCTTAGTATTGTTTGTGAGTTGAAAAGTGTAACACCTGAGAGACCCTCTGAGTGATGAGTGGTCACTTTGTTACATGAAGCCTTGCTTTAGTTGGGTTAGATATTGTTGATGGATAGAGAGATAGATAAAGGGGTAAATCAAGGAAGTTACCATTTAGATGCCTGTTTTGTCTTAAAGCTACATGAGTGGCTAGCTCTACAATCCACAACAACAACATATTAACACATATTTATCTACATAACTCTCCATGATTCCCATGCAACGTTTTGACATGGTTTGCATATCTAATCGTGTAATGAAGTCAAACTTAAATCTTGAGTTCTCAAGGACCTCTCAAGGATACTCAGTGTGATAGTACTATAGCGATATCTTATGAACCTATTGTATTTTAAAAAATGCACAGGAATGCTTAATCAATATCTGAACTGGGTTGCACCAGCAGCTATGTGTAAGTTCTCTCCTAAGTTGGGGTGTAAAGTTGACACTACAGGCTCAGTAACCACTAGTTAGTTTTTGCTAGATCAGCTATTAAAATCTGTTGCAACATGATTACTTGGGGCCGATCCTAACTAGTATAGTTTGAACTAAGGCAAGTGGCCAATCAACACTCAGAGATTTATTTATGATTTACAGGCGATGTGTAACTATTTATTTGTTACTTTAAGTTGTAACTTATCTCTGTGGTGAACTGCTTTTACTTTAGTAATGCATAAAGGACTTAACCATTTATGCTAGAGCAGACTGAGCAGCATAAGCAACATATGGAGGTTGATTGTACCTTATAAAAGATCATATTCAGTTTGATTCAGCTCTTAAAACATTTTCCAGCGATATTTGCCTGAATGAGAAAATTTCAAAAATATGAATAAGGTGCAATTCATGTGATTATGATATCAGTGAGATATGCTGCTTGAAATAGACATTTCACGCCGGCGGCTGCCTGCCTCAGCTGTAGCTGTTCAATAAGCAGGATGACATACAGTAGGATGGTCATTGTTGTGTATGAAGCCCTCACACAGTTGCCAATGTGACGTTGGCATTGTGTTGGCATCGAGCATCAGCCTGTCAGCACTTATTTTCCACTAACAACGGCTGTCCTATGGTCTCTAGGGAAATGACTGATTTGACCTAATGTTTTAATGAACTAAACAAAACGACTTGAGTTTGAAGTCACTAGCTTTACCCTGGTACAGGTACTTAGTTGCTCATACAGGATGGTTTTGCAGTGTTTTAAAAGTTAGAATTGTGGTCCAATTGACGGATAAATGGCACTGCTAAAATGTGCTTGTTTGACTTAATGTACTTTCTAGTTTCTAATGAAGTTGTCATGTAAGTCTGGAGAAACAAGAGTAAAATGTTTAGCACTACAGGCTCTCAGACCGATAGAGGTGCTCAAGAAAGGAGAGAAGGATTCTAGATTCCACCTCTGTTTAGTTGGTCACAGGAGAGAATCCAGCAGCTTCAGGGCTTCATATTGTCAACTTTGTAGAATTTTAATACTCTTTAACTGCTGTTTCCTCCCACACAGCTTCCCTTGTTGCAGGAGTGTGTGCTTGCATTTACTGTGTCACAGCTCCACTACTGTTCATGTGTTGAAAGGTTTAAGACTGCACAAAGACTAATATTTTCCTTTATGTTTTGGCGTCATACACACTCAATTGTTTTAAGTTACAAAAGCAGATTAAACAGATTTAAATGTTTCATTCTGCTTCTCACCTTCATAACCTAGACCTCTTTCTGAACTCTACACACCTTCCAGTACTCTCAGATCCTTTTCTGCTATCCAGATCACCACATCAGCTTTCCACCAGACTTCCCTTTGTCTTGAAACTCCTCTTTAGACTCAGTAGGGGTCAACTTTGTTTTGAATGGCTAAAACCACAATGAGTTTTGTACTTATAAAGATTGTACCTCCAGTTTCTGTATTAACTTCCTTTTAAAATGTGCCTGTAAGGTATCCTTGAGTGTGTTGAAAGGTACCTATTCATAAAATGCATCCTTTTTATCCTGTATTTATTTTATTATTTAATTTCTTCTTCTTATTATTATTATTATTATTATTATTATTTGAAAATGCCTTCTAAGGTGCAGACTTTTTAAAAACATTTCTGTGTATCTGTGTGGACAGTGATGCGTTTGGAAAATGATGACTTCATCACCTGTATTTGCACATACACATGAGCCCTGCAATGACAGACTACCAGTTTGTGTTTGTCTGGTTAGCGTTGCTAGGCTGTGTTTTGGAAAGGTGTTATAAATAAATAAAAAAATAAATAGACAAAGGAAATAGCTATCAAATAACTATATGAATTAAAAAAAAATGGCTATTATAGTTTAATTTTTCACTACTTCTAAAGGAATATAAGCTCACAATGTTCTTCTGTAGTATTGAACGTAGATTTTATCGCCACCTACTGGCCCAGCTTCCTAGATGAGCATTTTGAATCATTTTTGCATTCTCGCCTGGATGGGGATGTTTTATAAAACAAATGTCATGTGAACAGATTCAAATATATAATCTGTATATGTGGCATGCAAACAACAACTCAGTTTCTTGAACCTCTGACCACCGCCAACATCACAGCTGAGTGTGGTCAGGTGTCGTCTGTTATACTTGGAGCTGCAGTGATGGAGCTGCAGTGTACAAAAAGCACTCTGTTACAGCTGTGAGACCAGGTGCAGTTACTCTTTTTTTTTCTTCTTCTTTCTTTCTTTTTCTTTTTATCTTTTTTTAACATTCAGGAGCAGAAGGGTTGTGTTTTAGCAAACAGTAAAATATAGTAAAAAAACAACAGATCATATTCTTAACTGATTTTATCTTTTTGAATGAAATACTATCAGAAGGCATAACTAGTAATATTACAGTATTAATATTACTTTACCTAGTAGTGTAACTTATTACTCACAAAAAATGAATATAGCAAATACATGAAGATGGAAACACTGACATGCAGAAACTGGAAATATTCCATTAGTTTGATTTCAACAAACAAAACCACAGTTTAGGTGTGAAATTGTGGGAGAAGGGACATTTTTGAGTCTAACACTGCTAATGATTCCAATCGCTTCTGTTCTGCCACTTTCTGAGTGATGTTAAGCCGAGCAGAAATAGGAGGAATTACACTCTTTGAGCTACTAGAATGCTTTTAATGTGCAGTGTATGTGTAGGAAGTGTAGAGTTTTTTTGACTGTATCTCAACAGTTCTTAAAAGGAACATGACTGGATGTGACTGGGAATAATTAGCGAATGAAAACAGGATTGCTTTTAGAGATGATTCTGTTGTAAACATATACCATTTACTTGCAGATTATACCCAACTCCAAAACCAGTTTTTAGGTTTAGCTAGGCCTGATTGACTCACCCCTATTAGGGACTGGACTGCAGAAAATGCTTTACAGCTCAATGCTAATAAAACAGAGGTTCTGGTTATTTCTCCAGAAGAGGTCACCCCTATGATCATACAGAGCATTGGACCTCTTTCCTCTGCAGCCCACTCCAACGTGCATAATTTAGTGGTAGTATTTGATCAATACTCGTCATTTGACATCATCTTAATCAGTTGACCAGATCTTGTCTTTCCGTCTTAGAAATGTTGGTAAACTGAAATCAGTAGTTTCACCTGTTGAGTTAGAGATGGTTGTAGATGCCTTTATCTCATTTACTACTGCAATGCACTTTTCTCCTCAGGCAATCCAGAATGCTGCCACATGACTCCTCACTAGATCAAACAGACAGTCTCTCATTACCGCTGTACTTAGATCTCTTCACTGGCTCCCTGGCTCCTGCATATATAACTACTGCACCCTTACGTTTTCCCCTGCTCCCCGCTTCCTAGTCAAATGTGCTCAATTTACTGTGTATGCCGCACACCTGCCTTAAGACCCATGGCGATCAAGCTTTTGAGGCAGTAGCACCTCCTCAGAGAATGTTGCCTTGCATACGTTACTTACTTGTGCATTTTGTCCTTAAAAAGGATACAAATGGTGTGTTTCTCCACTTAAATTTCAACCTGCATCTGACTGGGGGTAGAGAGAGGGGGAATGATATGCAGCAAAGGGCCGCAGGCTGCAAGGACTCAACCTATGTGAGGCATGCACTTGTGTATCATGCGTCCCAGACTGGATTCTCTATGCAGTTTCTGTGTCTGACTTCCTGCCAATACGATCTGCTCTGTGCTGCTTGACACGAGTGGAGCAAGACTTCCGTCAGAAATAGAGCAGCCATGGAGAGAAAATCCCAGGATGCGCTGTGGCGCTTCTGGTGGAATTTCGAGCATTGCCTAAAACGGGAGTGATCAGCTTCAGCAACCTTGGCCGTGCCTGGTGGAATTTGTGGTTACGGTCTGTGGATTCTGTAGATTCTTTCAAAGGGCAGCTGAAGACAAACTAATTATTGTGTATTTTCATAGAATTTTTATTTTAGTATGCATTGTGGCTCCTTTCTTGACTGCTGTATATTGCTTCTGTAAAGCACTTTGTGATAAATTTATAAATATATTTTACTTACTTACATACAGTATGGATAGAATATCATTATGGAGCAGGGGAAATTTAAGCTTATTTCAAATGAATGCCTGGTTCTCTCTGCTGTAGAGATTAAAAAAGGCCCTGACCACGATTTAAGAATTTACAGTAAGTCTATAGGCCTGTAACGGAATGGAGTGAAAACCAAACAACTGAAGGTTCAGAGGGTTAATGCAGGTTTCAATATCACAGCATCAGGCCTTAATTAACATCAGAGCAGTGCAATAACTCTGCTGTCTCTGTCCATTCTCCACCATCAGTTTGGTGTGCTGTTGTGTAACGTAGCATCCCTGACTGCAGAAGGCGTCTCAGTCTCTATATATATATATATATATAATATCTGTCTCATTGTTTCTCTCTGACTTGACTTGGACATTCGCTGCTCAATGGAGCACTTCCTAAAGTCTCCTGTCGTTGCCTGGCAACAGATACCG